CTCTCTCTCTCTCTCTGTGTAGCATGTTCGCCCGTGCATGTATGCGAACATGCAGTGGCTTCGTTGCCTTGTGTTGATTGGCCTCTGGTCTGCACCTCTGTGATCCGGTGTGCAACCTAATTTTCTGCTAGTTGCCATGGACCCCCTGCAAAAGAAACAATCAGACCTGCCGTGCGTTCCTGCTAGAGCATTTGTGCTGACTGTGTCGGGATCTGAGAGCACAGCATCCATGGCAGCATCATGATGACGTCCATGGTCTATTTATTCGTTCTGAGAACAAAATCTCCATGGCCCATCGTGTCGACGTCCAGGGTCATGTGTGCTGTGCGGCAGTGTGCATTGGCATGTGTCTTCTGGTGCGACTGTGTGGCGGTCTCAATGCATGTGAGTCCAGCAAGTCAGTGCTCTTGGATGCATCCACTAGCCTTCCTTCCGCCAGCCGCGTGTCCGAGCAAGCAGGTGCTTTGCTCTGCTTGACTTCACGGGTACTGTTCTCTGTGTGTGTGTGTGTGTGCGCAGGTCGGAGTGCCTGCGAAGCCAGTAAGTACGTGTCTGATCCAGAATTCTCGTATGTACTTGTGCGTTCTGAAAAAGTCATCGGACGAGTACCTCTGCACAAGCCGTTCTTCGGTTTGTCCATGCGTGTGTGTGCATATGTGCGTTCTTGGTTTGCGTGCTTGCGACGGTGCCGTGCGTGAGATGTCGAGCCAGTCCGGGCTGGCCCTGCTTGCCACGTGGAGTTGTGTCTGCCGTGCGGCGTGGCTAGGCGCGCATGCCCGAACCCAAGCCCGCTAGCAGCCCGCAGTCCTACTGCCCAACATCCATTCATTTCTGTTCACCCGGGACCCCGTGCAAGCCGTTCACCGTAAATTTAATCGATCCTAAACAAGTAGCATCAAGTAGCCTACCTGCGTCTCAACGACTTGACCACTTCTCAGTTCAGGGCAGCACGTAGCTCATCGGCCCAGGCGGAGCCGGGGGGGCGAAGAGATGGTCCGAGCGGCACGGGCAAAGGCCAGTGGCCAAGGCAGAGGTCTGGGCCCTGGGACGAGGACGTCAGCGACGACTGAGGCCATCATGTTGGATGCCCTCTCTTTCCCCTTGTCCCTGGCCAACATCTGAGCGATCCGAGTGGAAACCATGAGCAGTGGCACCTAAGACGTAAGACGTGGAGCATTGATGTCTGAAATGTTTCGAGCGAGGCATGGATACTCAGCCAGGAGTCCGTTGCAGTGGACTCAGTCAGCATGTACAACGCGAGGCAGATGTGCAACATTGCCTCTTTCACAGGGCCCCATGCGTGAGGACACGGTTCATTGCTTTCATTGCTTCATCTGTGCCTGCAGTATCCCGCAGTCACAGCACATAGGTCCAGTGGCCAAAGGAGCCACGGCCAGCGGATTGGGAGCTGCTCGACTCGCGTTTGCTGAACTGATTTCGATGCCATCGGCCAGGAATGAATGAATAGCTCTGAGTTCTGAGGCTTCATGTGGTGGTGCTGGGTGCGACCTCCAAAGCCGAGGTCTTCTCTCGCAGATGCCCTGGGTGCCTTGTGGAGCTGTGGAGCGTGTTGAATCTGCAAGGTGCGCGTTTGGCGAGTCTGCTGCCCGATTTAGTTATAGGCCATAGGGCAGCTGCATGTGCAGTGGTGTTGGCCACCTGCTGCCAAGCATGAGTTTCCGCAGTCTCCAGATTTGCAACATCTCTCAAGTGCCACTGCCCAGGACTCCAAATACTGGGACGAGACCCAGCATGCAAGAGCATTTTCCTAATTCGGCTAGTTAAAGCTGGATGCCGGTTTGCTCCAACCCAAGGAACTGGCAGAACTTCTCAAGCACCGATGTAAGGTTCGGCTTCACTTCGTTGGTCCGGTGGCTTAGCAGCACCGCTTAGCAGGGGCCACCGGGGCTGTGGAGTCGCGAGGGCAGGAGGGCCAGGAGGGGCAGAAGAGCATCTCCGATCTGTTCGGAGGAGATATCGCGCAGTTCCGGATTCAGCGACCTCTCAGCGGCCTCGCCGGCAAGGGAGTGCTTGGCGGGGTGTAGATGTTCCTTCTGGCCCCAGCCGAGGAAGTGCACCAGGTAGAGCTGGGACCTTATAGCCTTAGACTACGGGCCAAGGGCCCTTAGTTCCGAGTGGTGCGGATTGATGTTGCCTGCCTCATGCTGATGCCCAGGCCACCCTGCGCAAAGCACTTCTTTCAGCAACGGCCTGATCTTCGTCCGGAGCCGCTTCCATTGCACGGTTTTGGAGAGCCTGGGCCGGATGCGTTTCGATTCCCATTTGATCCAAGGAACACTCTGTGTGCTGTCTCTTGTCTCAAACTGCGGGAATGTCGCGCACGCATCCGGCGCCAGAGATGTCCAAAAGGTTTTCAATGGAGGCTACGGAAATTTCGTGGCCTCTGGGCGCGACGAGCTGTTTTGGAGCTGGCTGCCGGACCCGTCCTGAGAACCTTTGAGGGCCTGTCGCGCTTGGACTACAGTCTTTAGGAACTTTAGGAATGTGAGCGGCAAGGACTTGCTGTTCTTGGCTGAATCGTCTGCAGCCCAGCATGTACGAAAGTCCGCCCAGGGGCGTCTTTGAAACTTCTCGGTTAGGCAGTACTTGTGTGCCTTCTTCTGTGCCAACGACTACGCAGATCTACGTGGTGAGGTGGGAAGGCAAGTTGCTTTTTTTCTCAAGTTCCTCTTCCATGTGACGTGCTGCAGATTGCGGTGCACACGACGATCCTTGGATCCTGCTTCGCGCTGGCACCTCGCTCTGGTCTCAGAGCCCTAGCAGCTCCTGGCCGAGCATCGCTTCCAAATTGCGGCCAAAGTTCGGCGAGGGAGCGCGGCCTGAGGCGAGAATCCCTTCGCCATGGCCACCGTGTACTCTGGAGAGGACGCGAAAGAACACCTCGTTTGATGGGAATAGGACGAGCGGGGCAGCTTGCGTTGTGATTCGTGGAGAAGAGGACGATTCTGGAGAGTGGTTTTCTGGAAATGTTTTCACCTTTGTCACATGTGGCTACCAGAGACGTGGCTTAAAGCTTATATGGGAGCCACAGACAGACAGCACAGCGACACAGCTCCACCACCTGTGTGCTATTCAACTAGTTTGCCGTGGGCCCTTGTGGCACAGTTGACGCAACATCACGGGTCGCCTTCATGCAACGACCGTGGCATTGCATAGTTTTTGCAACCTGCCAAGGAAGGCATGCCGCCACTCAGCTGCAGTGCCCTGGCTTGAATCATCGTTTTCTGTAATGCCGAGTAGACACGGAGGAGTGTGATCTCGTGGAGGTCGATGATACTTGCTGTCACACTGAGGAGTCGAGGCTTTCGGATTCCGTCCGGAAGGTGCTTGAAGCTGCCGTCGCAGCCCAAGAGAGACACAAAGCATCCTCCATGCACGGCAGCCTCAAGAGCTTGACTTTATGTCATTCTACGTGTTGCTTGAGGTTCTGAAGCATGCCCGGGCCTGCCAGGGGCAGAAACTGCCTTCGGTGGAGGCTGGTGGTGCAGTTCTGGCATTACGTCCATGTTGTCTTCAGCGATGCATCTCATCCGATAGGCTTCGCGGAAGTGTCCTCCTGTACAACTGGGAACAACCTCGGAAGGCCAGTTCGAAAGCGCGACCTATCCGAAGTCACTGACATGTTGCATGTCGCGACTTCAGATCGAGCGGTGCGGCGACATTGGCAGCCTCAAACTCGTTTTTCTGCCGACCTTTGGCCCAAGCTTCTTCGATGCCAGTTCCGAAATACCTCACGGAAGTTCGAAGTAGAGATGTAGTACTAGCAAGATCGACACTAGGACGTTGCTAATCTGTGCATGGCTATGCTATGCCTGCCAGCAGTCCCAGCACCGTCATTTTCTGACAGTAGGTTCACTTAAGAGGAGCATGGCCATGGAAGCCGAAGGCTCAGAGTCAGACGACTTGGTGTACTCTGGACCAGACTTTCCCGAAGAACTAGACGAATTCCTCGCCTACGGCGTGAGGGAGCATGACGGTGACTTTGAGGCAGGATGCCTGTGAAAGGTAGTTTCGGGAGCTGCTTACTTTGCAGTGGCCGTGGTGGTGGTGCACGCGGCGGTGGGCTGTTAACGATGGTCTAAAGGGATCTAAAGGGGCCATGACGCTTGCATTGCTGATTCATTGCCGGTTTGTTCTTTGATTGGTGGGCATGTGGTCCCGGCCGCATCTGGTCGTCGTCGTCGTCGTCGTCCTCGGTTCTCTGCTGCTGCTGCTGCTGCTCGTGGTTTGTTCATGCCGTTGCTGTTGCTGGTGGTGATTTTGTCCGCAAACTTTTACTTGTCTGTCCAACTTGAAATGAAGAAAGGAAAAGCAAGAGAGTTAGTTCCATCAGCGGAGATTTCACTCTGACCATTCTCAGCTCATTCGAGAGAAGTGCTCGCCTTACTTGGTCTTGTGATTCGGTCATCGCCTCCCAAAAACAGCCGGCTCGCACTCGCAACCAAAACCCCTTGAGGAAACATCGGACCCTCCAATCCAGACCCTCAACGCAGATCGTGTTGTTCTGGTTAACTCTGCTCACTTGCGCGACATGTACCCAGCACCGGTCCGACCGTACACACCGCAGGAGACTTCGGTCTCGGCTGCAGATAGCCAGCTAGACGCAAGCAGGGACGAAAGCCACAAGTAAGGCTTGAGACAAGCTGGAGCCGCCAAGGGTACTGTCGCACCCCCCCCCTCCCCATGAAGCAAAGACCAACCAGTGTCAGAAGCGATGAAGAGAACGAAAGATTGCTGGGCCCGGAGGCGATCTCTGAAGACTTTCTGGAGATTGCCCAGGGCCTGGATGAGGAGCTTGTAGAGCGTGCCTACGAGTTCTACTCGCCGGAGGCCTTACGCAGGCGCTGGCGCTTCCTGACCGCGCTAGAAAGTGAGCCGGTCAGAGGTGCCAGTGCTTCATCTAGTGCATCCAGTGCAGACATGCCTGGGCCAAGACCGGGCGATGTGAGGAACCAGACAGATCCCATGGAAATGCCACATTTGTCGTTCTTTTCTGAAGACGTGAGAGACCAGATCAAGGCAATCTATGACGATGTGCAGGCGAAATTGCCTTCTTCATACCTAGAACAAGCTGAAGATGACGAAGATGTGCTTTGCGAAAATTCAGATTCGATCGCACCAGAAATGTCTGTCAGCGGAAAGAGTGGGAGTGGAGCTGTCGACGGCGAGGGCGTAGCTGACGCTGACGATCAGGATGCTGGCACCGATGACGGGGACGTGTCTGACAGCGATTCAGAGCTATCTGACAGCATGGAGGACACGGCCGTGTCTCTTTTCGGCACAGCAGACCTCAACGAGATTCTCGCGAATCTCTCGCGGCCGGAAGTTGATGCCCTTCAGATTGCAGAGGAGGCGCTCACTCCAGTAAAAAAGCCCGTCACTCGGGCTCATGACACTGTGCCGTCCGATGGAGAGTCCGAGCAGGCGTATCAGGCAAGACGCCGAGCCCTCAAGGACTCCAGCAAACGCTTGGTTAGAAACAGCTTCGGAGCTGAACAAGATCAGAAAAGACAAATGCGCTCACCACCGGAACCCAGGTGTGAGGTGAAATCAGTCAGTGCATCGCAAATCTCCGGAACAGCGAGGGCCTTGCAGCTGGTTGACCCCAACGACAGCGAGGCAGAGACCGATGCAGCGGAGACTGAATCGAATGCAAGTGAGGATGCGGACTACGAGGAAGACCAGGATGTTCGCATCCGCACAATGTTGCAGCTCCTTCGCCAGGCGCCAAATGGCGATTGCCCCTGGGATGTGTGGCTGAAAGCAACGCGTGCATGGCCTCAGCTCAAGATTCGCTTGGATGACCCCGGCATCTGCCGACGTAGACAAGGCTTGCGGGTTGAGTTTAGTGTGGACAAGCTGAAGTCGGCATTGGAGGAGGAGCGGGCTGAAAGGTTTGTCAGAAATGAGAAACGCAAGGAGAGGCGGTCGAAGAATGGGGTTGTCGAGTTGGTCCGTGAAGCTGAGCGACGTAGAGACATGATGAGCGGGCGTTGGGACTTCAAGGACCTTATGTTGGTCTCAACATAGGCCACGGGTCTGCGTTCCAGGGCCCTCGAGTGCGCTCTTTGGGGCTGCAGAGGCAGCTCACTGAGCAGCTGTTACATGAATGATGCAATCTCACCAATTGACACAGTTGAGAACTTAACCGGGGCACTTTCAACCGGAAAAAGGCTTCGAGCGCCCGATGTTTGGCAGTGTCTACATGCAGTCAAAGTGAGTGCTTGCTCAAAGATCTCATCACACGCCATCAAGCCGTCTTCGTGAGTATGTCGCACGTGTTGCCTCGACAGGAAGGACAAGTTCGGTGTCGTCAAAGCCAGGAGCCGAACGGAACGGGTTCATGAAAACCGTTGCAGTACGCTTGTGAGGCGAGACTTTGTCATGTTGTAATGGTTGCCATTTGAACTGCCCGCCTGGTTTGAAGCCCATTCGCAACTGAACCCCGCTTCGTGACGACCGATGCTGCGCGCCATCCTTTTCCTTCGCATCTGCAGTCTGGCAGCATCCATCCCACAAAGCGCGTCCGAGAGTTGTCCAGACGATGTCACAGCACTTCTACAGCGAGAGGGCGACGCTGTGCTGCAACATCCAGGCTTCAACATCCTTCAGGTGCGCCGCACGATGATGAAGAAGGCCAGCCAGTGTGCAAAAAAGTATTACAAGCAGCTCGAGCTTCTGAACTTGCCTTCAGTATATCGCACCTCATGGCAGCCACGGAAGCTGCCCATGACTTCTCGCAACTTGGTGATTGGCGCTGGCATGGGGACCACCGGCACGCATGGTTTGGTAGTTGCCTTGGAAGAGCTGGGCTTGCATGGATACCACTACAAGGACGCAAGGGCTTCTGCAAACGAGCATGCCAGAGAGCACAAGCTGCCGGAGTTTTTGACCGAAATTGTCGAAGGCATGCTTGCCAACACCTCACAATGCCTCGAGACCATCGAGAATTTTGACTTTAGCCAGTTGCCGAAGAACGTCGACTACGTGAGCGACACCCCGTTCACGGAGTCCTTCCTGGACGTGTACTTTCAGTTCCCCGAAGCGAAAGTTGTCCTGACCACCAGGCCTTCGCTGGAGTGGGCGAAGAGCCGGCGCAAACATGGCAACAGCCCACCTCCGGTCATGAGGCCTTGTGGCCTCCAAGGCTTGAAAGAGTATTCCGATGGGGACTTGGCCTCCATGCTCGAAGCCTATCATGACCTCGTCCGCTGTGTGGTCCCCCGGAAGAACTTGCTGGAGCTCAACTTGTTCGAAGAGGGCCTCAACTTGACCAGTAGCCTGATGACGTTCTTGGAAGACAGGCCGGGCATCTCTCCGACACTAGTCCCTGCGACACGCCAGACTCATGCTTGATTCGATTGCAGAGGCTGCCGCTCGTCCAAGCAGGCCAGCTGAGGGAGGGGGAGGAGGGTAATGCTGCATGGCCGCGTCGCGTTCTCGACATGTGTAGACTCATGCATGCAGCGGCAGTTGAGGACGTACAGAGATGAAGGCGAAGCACAAACCAACAGCTTGAGACACCGGCAGTATGATTTACAAGCTTAAAGTCTTGTCAATAGACCTCCCAAGGAGGCCACAGCAGTGCCTTATTGGGCACAGTTTTTACTCCACAATCTCCCGGAATCTCCTCCAAAATGGAGGCTCGGGGAATGGAGGCAGAATGAGGCGAGACTAAACTGGCCGAGCCGTCGCACATCGTCGCACCATTGCAAGTCACAGCGTGCAAGATTCTGCGATGCAACTGCATTCTGCGGTGTTTGTGCTTCCCAGGCCGATTCAGTCGGAAGCAGCTGGGCCGAAGGCAGAGGTGAAGGCTACGGAAGGCGGCTGGCGGCTGGAGGCATCGACCTTAGTTGTGTTTCCACGTCTCTTGAGTCACATCGTCCTTCACACATTCTCAAGCCTTCCGTATGTGGAGCGACAACATCCCAAAGAAGAATGAGAAGCTTGTACATCAGTTGAAAGTCGTCAGAAGTTCGTAGAGACACCAAGCAGGGCTCGCTTGTATCCAGTCTTGGGATGAGCACCCAGTCTTAATGGAAATTACATGCATCAGCTCTCTGGGGAGTCGAGGAGTTCGTCTTGATGTGGTTGTCGCCTGTTAATTATGTTGGCGATGACAAGAGAGGCGACGGCAGGGAACTGAGGGCAAAAGATGCTTCGAAGGTCCCCTGGCCAGAAGGCCTCGACCTGGCCAGCATCGCCGCTGGGACTTTGAGTCGCTTCCGGTCTCCTCTGGCATGGCTTGCGTGGCTGCGCCGCCGAGGATTTGCAGATCTCGGATACAGAGGTTTCGCTGACGATGCCGGGAGGCTGGACGAATGCCGACTCTCTTTTGCGGCCTCGGTTCCAGTCCAGGAGAAGATATGAGAACCCGAGTCTCCAAGAGAGAGCGAGACAGAGAGTTTCAGACACAGAGCTGATGCTAGGCCACTTGCTCCTCGCTTGGCCTCAACCCGTGGATTCTTCAAGCGCTTCGGCCGCCGTCTCAACGAGGCGCCCACCTTGTCTTACTGGTGGTATGGTTGTTGTTGAACGGTCATCAGGTACCAACATGCGTGCAAAACCTTCCGTGCCCATCATCCGAAGCCAACTTGACTGCCCTCTGAATTCGTAGGGCTTGCTGCTTACCGCCCACCCCGTTGTGCTCCCCGCGGCGAAACCTTTGGACACCTGGAGGCAGTGCAAGGAAAACCCTTTTAAAGTCTTGCTGCTACTTCATGAATCCATCGTGAGCCTCTGTTCGGGATTTCGAATTGGGTAACATCTTTTCAGACGTCTATGCGTCTATGACCCTATGAAAGCCCTTACTGAGACCCGGTTCCTCTCCCGAGGATCTGCATGTGTGGCACACGACGCAACCGAACGGCAGTGTCGCCTTTTCTGTCTGTTTGACCGGTCAGCCAACAGCAAGTCGAATGAAGACGATATCGCCAGACTGCGGCTCATACTCGGTTCTGACTTTCGTAGAGCCTCAGAGCGGGCTTGTTGACACACCGACATCCCCGATGGAACCCCTCAGCTCCTGCCGCAAATGTCTCATCCGGCATCCAGAGCAGCCGGTGCAATTCAGCCGCATCGGGGCAGTTCGGGTCATGTGTGTTTTGAACCGGGTTGCCTGGACTTGTGCATTCTGCAGTGAATCAAGAAGTCGCAGCGGCACGGGCGATGCCCCGTGAGAATTGAAAGTCATCTGGACGCCTCGAGGGCGTGATTCAGAAAGGCTCGAAACTCGAAACAAAAGCGCACGCCTTGCGCGCCCGCTGCTGAGGTCACAGCCTCCCGGCCCAACATGTTGTGATCGAAAGTTCTCGCAGTTTGGTGTCGCATCGATCATCCCGGCACTTGTGGCGTTTGTGCTCAGTTTCGCTCGCCATTTGCGTGGGCAACTTTCAACCGCTGTGTTCTGCGACACGGCTGACACACGACTAGCGACCCCATCTGAGCTGGAGACGAGGCAGGCTCACAGGAGAGAGGGAGAGAGCAAACACCCATGCGTTGTCCCGTCTTCGAACAGGTCACCCACACTCCCTGGAAGCCCCATCACGCCCTTTTGTGGCCCCAGAATTTGAACCACCCCGCATGCCCTGGAGAAGAAGAGGACGGCAACCCACAACCTGCTCCTGGGTCCTGGGATGCAATGAGCGGCTGAAGCCGCGAGGGGGAACATTCATGTTGTGCGGAGGAACGAGAAGAGAGACACAGAAAGAATGTCTTTGCTTCATACAGGGGGGCCGTGAGATGGACTTGCATGCTCGCTTGTGCAGGAAAGGACTTCTCATTCTGAAGGCCAGCAACCGTTGAGCAAAAAAGTGCACGAGACGAGCGAACGTATTGTGCGCGATTTTGGGTTTTCTCGATGGCTTGCCAACAATCCACGATAATCCACGCGTGTTTTTTGCTGCGGTGTTGACAAGGCATGAAGTGATCCGAGCTTTAGCCACTATGGAACCCTGTTCTTTTGCTATGTGGCTTTCGCTGCAGCATCCGCAGTGACGACACCTCGCCCTCCCGCTTGTACAGCTTCTGACGACATCTGAAGATGCTCCAGGAACCTGCCCGGGTCGCTTCGGTTTGGCTCAGGGCTGAAGCCAGGGTATGGTACGGCTACGTTCCACTTCCTTCTGTTCATGTTGCCGGGCGCTTACAATCTCAAAGGAGTCGTACTATGACTGATGGCGGGCCGGGCGACCACCATCTAGAGTTGATCGCATCTCGTGCTTTGCTTGTCGGGCCACTTGCTGAGGCTCTCAAGAAACAGCGCTCCATGGCTGACTCAGACTTTACTTTGCTGCCTGCCTGCAATGAAATGCTGCCACGTGTCAGGTTTCAACTTCGTAGCCTCAAAGCACCAGGGCGACAAGAGTAGGAAGCTACGAAGGAGCGGCATGATTTTGTTGCGAGTCGCAGCTTTCTCCGCCTTCTCACCTGCACCCCGCCAAAAGCCCCAAATGCACCATGCCACCCAGCCTGATGTGCTGATGTGCCCGGGCTATGAACCCTTCTCCACGTGGTTGTTTGCATGTGACGGCACGTTCCCTTTCCCCCTCCACACAGTCCTCGCCTCGAGATGCGATTTCTCGGAACGGCCGGCGCTCAGAAGACGAACAGCATCAACAGATTATTTCCGCATTTTGGGTGGCCCTTTATGCACGAAGTGCAAGTTGCTCAGGGTTCCACAGATTCCAGCTGGTTGTGGGAAGTCTGATCGCAGGGTCCGGTTGAAATGTTCGACCGGGGCAATGTCGGCCTCGGCCAGCCTTCGGTATTCTGAGGGTTCGTCAGGCCAGCCGAAGCGTGGGTGGGAGGGAAATTCAAAACGAGATGAGCTTTGAGTGCTGCCGTGTGGCGACGTGGCGGGCTGCAGATGGACTAACTCTTGGTTCTTGAGACATTCCTTTTGTCTTGTAATCTTGTAATATTTGTAATCTTATACACATCATACGTGTTTGTCCAGAGAGATGGCAGATGAGGCATTTCCCTGTTTTCCTGCTCATGGTCATCTGGTGAGGACATGTTCTCCGGAGCAGTGCTTAAGCCGAGTCATCAGACGCAGTCCGTCAGACACGAAGATGTCAAGTGTTTCAGTTGTTGTTAGACTACAGCTTGCCCACAGCCGGCCACACGTTTGCAGACTCTAGGCCATACGTATATTCGCTCACGTCCATGGTGAGAAGATTGCACATGGTTCAATGAGACTCAGCCACCATGAGTCAGGACCAGTGGTTGGCCTATGCCTTGGACAGCGACGACAGCTGCGAGAGCGAACAGGCAGCCAGCCTCATGTTGCTGCAAACTTCCCGATGCTCGGCAAGACAGTTGGTCTCCTTCATCGCCAGTTGGCTAGAAGGCATCAGGGTTTTCCCGAAGCCCAGACTTGCGTGACTCCTTTGTAAGGACACAGCGTCGAGACATCCTCAGTGCGGTCCAAGGAGTTCCCCAAGAGCGCACCTTCAGTTGTCCATAGCCGTGGCTACGACGAGGCGGCAGTCCCGCCCTATTCCGCCCCATTCCAAGCACTGAATCGTAGGGGACCATAGCCAACTGAATTGTGCAGGCTGACCAGGAACTCTGCAAATACAAACGGCAAAGCAGCAAAGACAGGAAGGAGCGACAAGTCCAGCGTACAGTAGAAAGGTATGATGAACGATAGTCGCCAATTCAAAGATGTCTATGCCGAAAGATCAAGCACTGGCACCTTACCCGAACCCACCAAGTCGGTGGATTGTGGGCCTTCTATGGGGCATCAAAACTTCGGTTTTGTGTCCTGGGCTTCAAGAATACCGACGCAGCCCGACGCGTGATGGACCAGGAAAGTTGAGCACGACATGTGTGCGACTTGAAACCAGTAGAGCCACTTGCAGTGCAAGCACTGGATGGGCCGTACCATGGCCGCACAGGGCAGCGACTGACTCCCAAGGATGCCAGCAGGCATGATGTGTGGATACCACAGGCAGACGACTTGGGTCTCTGGTTGAAAAAGCCAAGAACCAAGCTCACACACGCGTCCGCATATCGTTCAGCGGCTGCTTTCGAGCATGCGCCCTTTGACATCCTGTGACATGTGAGGCCAACACGCCAGCTTGAGAGTCATCATTATGGCAGCCTTAGCAACATGGAGATCGGCGCTGGCCATGCAATACGCGGCCACATACTGTTTGCTCTTGCTGTGTTGCCGGCAGGCTGCGCTTCAAGAAATGTCAACGATCATGTCAAGCTGTGCATCAATCGACTTCAACACGTGGACGAGTCTTGGCGAAGATCGCATCTGCACTTTCTTTTGTGTTTCTGCTGCTGCAAAAGTCTTTGAACATTAACCTGTGACTGCTAACATTCTTTATGAGCTCCCAACACGTCAAAAAGTAAGGCATTGTATTGCCAGCAAATGCCAATCAAAATGGAGTGGCAATTATCATGCTCGAGCCTTAGCCCCGAATTGCATCGCTGTTGTGCCCAGGCTCGCCAGTCATGCTGGGAAGATCCGGTGTAGGTGTAGGTGCCTGGACTGGGTTTTGCGGCTAGCGTGGCCGTGTTGCCGCCAATGAGCGAAAGGGCGAATGCCAGTGACCGGATCTTTGAATACCAAATCAGCAAGACGACAGACCACCAGCCGACCATTCATGGACACCACCAGCTCAGTCTTTACATAGTTTTGCCAAGTTTGGATTGACTCAACTCATGACTTGTTTCCGTCCTGTAGACTGGAAAGGGTGGCACAAAGATCACAACTTCCAAGCATGCACTGGCCACTTCAAGTACCCACGAGACGGTGGCAGTGGTGGCTGCGAGACTCAACTGCGTCACGTAACTGGAGTCTCAGTAGCGACGGGCGAGCAGCTCGACGCACGGCCGGAAATCCGCTGAGCTCATAGGTTAGATCTCGTGAGAGTTCGAGAAATTGATGTCTCCAGGCTTCCCTTGCCTTCCCTTCCGTGCAACTTCCCGCATGGACATGCGTTCGACACAAGACCCCCACTGCTGGCGGTCACATCGGGTGCCGCTACATGGTGCGGTGAAACTGAAGGATCGGATGCCACGAGCCGCAGCCAAAAACAGATCATGGTTGAGGTGCCACCGCTCAACACTGAGGCGAGAACAAGACTGTGCTAGTGTACATGGGGAGCTGCGACGAGGTCTGCACTTCAGGCAAAACGCCACATGCAAGAAGGAAATGTAGACCTATTTACCACATGCGGCGTTCAATGCTTGTATTGCTCGGAGACGACGAGGTATTTGGTAGCCCTGGGCTTCCAGAATGCGTAAGAACATCGCACGCAACCTTGTACACACTCCTCATCATCGGTATCATCTTGGACGTCACTATATTCCTTACCTGTTTGATTACCCCTGAAGGGACCCTTGCCGCACGAAGCCTGCTACTGCAGTGCAACCGAGGGCGCTCCACACTAGCGCTCTGTATAAGCACCGTGCCCTTGAAGCCGACGACGTGTGTTGTGTTCCTATTCGTACTCGCGGGCCCTACAACCAGCACAGCAACCGGCAACACAACCAGACCAGAGGGGCTCGCTACCAACGAGATGACCCACGCATGAATGCTGGAGGAATAGGGGATTCGAGGTTGGGGGTCAACCACGAGGTCACAGTCGGTACCGAACCCACTCCACGTTTCACGCCGACACCGGACACGAACACAGGTGTAGCAAGTCTGGAGCGGTTGGGGGGCGAGGGTGTTCCCTCTCCCTTTACGCTTTTACCCCTGGGATAGAAAGAGAGAGAAGTGCCTGCGGGTGCTCGGCAGAAATAAAGAAAGAGAAGTGACATAGTTCGATGAGCGCAGGGAACCGGGGTTCGCCCTAATCCCCAAACGCCCAGCAAGCAAGCAGACAGTGAACACGACGGAAGCAAGCAAGCAAGTGCGAAAGGTAGCAACGGCAGCGCACGAGCTGGCGCGTGTATTTAGGTGCGTATCCGCACAGGGTTGCGGCGCTGTGTCGCTCTGTTGAGTGATAGTAGCAACGTCATGTTGCGTTGGGTTACCTCCATTGCTGGTTTGCAATGCTCTCCACTTGAGCTCTAGAGTCTCGAGAGCGTCTCACTTGCACGAACTGCTGAGGTTGTGGTGGGTCTTCCATCGGGATGGGGAGCGACAATCCGAGACTTGGATAGCCTCCTAGCCAAAATGTTCGTGGTATCCTGTTTCAATCATCCTGTGCCCGTCTTTGAGGTGTCTTTCTGAGTTGGGGCGGGTACGATGCCTGGATCTGGTCTACATAATACATGAAGATGGAAAATGGAGCAGCTTTGCGTGAGGTGCTTTGCTGTTAGTTTAGTTTCCATGACGGGCAGGTTTTGCGTTTGTTCGTAGGTTTGTTTATGTGTGCTTTCAACGTGGTCTGCAGCCATTTGCAAGGACATCTCAGCAAGCAGGATGCCCGTCACATGCGCATGCCTTGCTTCAGCCCACCTTTTCCCAACCCCTCAGTGGCCAGGAGACATCCAAGCATTAAGCTTCTAAGCATTCGGCCAAAGTACGGGATTCCCTGGCCAGAAGTTACCAAAGTGCGAAATCACATCTTCGCCACCAGTGGCCATGGCGGACGACAAGAGAGCCGCTCGGTTCAGAAAGATTCTCCTCTTTCGCATCGAAGCGCCATCATCGCTTGCTTGCCAGGAATGCGTGAAGGTCGTGATCCGGTGCCGGCCTCTGAGCGGCCAGGAGAAAATCGACAACAGAGAAAAGATCGTGGATATGGATACTTGTCCCAATGACGAAGCGCAAGCAGCGTCTAGGTGCTTGTGAGTCTTGCACCCCTGCGAAGCGACTATTCAAGGTGGTCAAGGACGGAGCCGTCAGCGTTCGAAGACCTGGCACGCAAGACTGCAAGAACTTCACGTTCGACGCTGTCTATGACGAGCACACCATACAGGGCGATTTTTATGAGCACACCGGCTATCCTATTGCCGGCACCTCAAGCTCTCCAGATTACCGCAGCTTTCATGGAGACAGATCGTGCCTGCTTCGTCTGAGTGCGAGAGCCAAAGAGAGAAGAGAAGAGCATGGGACCCGTGGATGAAAGACGATCACACAAGCAATGACGCAAAGACCCTGTCTACGATACCAGGAGGTTACTAGTATGTAATTTGTATGTCCCGAAAGAAACACAAGCAAGAGCGAGAGAGCAGAGGAAGGGAACCCTCAAAAACCAGCCGTGTGGACTCAGGTGGAAAGCCGCCTGGTGGCAAGAATCAGGGGTAAAATCCCCCAAAGTTGTGTCCGTGCACGATGTTTTTGAGCAGCAATTGATCGCCAAGGCGTCATGGATGGTTACAATGGTACCGTCTTTGCCTATGGGCAAACTGGCACTGGCAAGACCCACACGATGGTCGGGCCGGCCCAACCGGAAGAGCTGCATGGGGTCATTCCTAGGACTTTCGCGCACATCTTTCGGCACCTTGGCTGGTGACATGAACCAGCACTCAGCTTCGGATCATTATTGGCCGAATCTACTGTAGACTCTTTGCTCCGCACTTCAAGTGTTTTTGCCGTCACAGAAGTGCAGCACAGGAACGTGGATTGCGGCCAAAACAAGAAGTTCCTGGTCCGTGCATCCTACTTGGAAATCTACAATGAAGAGTCGCTCAGCATGCACGGGAGAGAGTCAGACTTCGGGATGCTTCCCGTCTGAACCCGAGTTTGCCTGCCGCTGCCAGGATCCGAGATTTGCTCTCGAAAAATCCGAAGCAAAAACTCGAGCTGAAAGACCATCCAGAGGGAGGTGTGTTCGTGAAAGACCTGACGAACATGATCGTGAAGGGTGCCCCCGACCTCCAGCAAGTTATGGAGGCATCGCAGCAGTTGACGGCCCATGGCCCCTCGCTTGCTTGTTCCTTTCACCCTCGTTGCTGCTAGCTCTGGCAAGGTTGGGCAAAAAAACCGAAGTGTTGCCAGCACTCTCATGAACAACGAGTCCAGCCGATCACATTCAATTTTTACAATCACTGTCGAGATTCTGGAACAAGGCGGGTTGCTGGGAGTGTGAGCACGCTAGAGGTACGCATAGTACACATGTTTTGTCACGGCTTGGTGAAGCCAGGCAGCTGTCGTAGTCATATGTAGTCATGACATTTTGGAGCCCTAGTCCCGAGGCGCAAGGCACGCTGAGGCCTGTGTCCACTGTGCAGGAATCGACGGTCAAGATCATATTCGAGTTGGTAAAATGAACATGGTGGACCTGGCGGGCTCTGAGCGGCAAAGCAAGACCGGGGCTACTGGGGACACGCTGAAGGCCTTCTGGGTTTGAAAGTGACTCCAAATTCCCTACGATAGGAATTTGACAAGGACTTTTCTTGACTCTAACTATGCAGTCCTGGTCTTCTGGTTTGAGTCCTTTGCTGGCTCGTGCAGGAAGCAACGAAGATCAACATGTCGCTGAGTGCACTGGGAAATGTGATCTCTGCATTGATCGACTCAAAGACATCTTTCGTTCCTTATCGAGACTCAAAGCTCACTCGCTTGCTTCAGGACATCGGCTGTCATGCAGTCGTGTGCTGTCACACAATGTTAGTACGTACTGGTGGAATAATGATATTGGACCTGGCCAGGACTCTCTAGGTGGCAACACCAAGACGGTGATGTGTGCCTGTATCGGTCCGGTCGATTACAACTTTGACGAGACTTTGAGCACGCTCCGCTATGCTTCCAGAGCGAAGAGCATCAAAAACAAACCCAGGATCAACGAGGATCCAAAGGATGCCATGCTTCCTGGCAGTACAACTTGTGGAATTCTTCTTCAAGAGTTCCATACTTTAGCAGAACTTCTCAGCGCCAGACCCCCGCAAGGATCCGCGAATTTCAAGATGAGATCACCAGGCTGAAGATGAAGTTGCAGGAGCGTGCGAACGCAGGTCCTGGGAGCCCGATTCGACCCGGCGCCGCGCCTGGAGAACCGGAGGTGATTGTGGAAAAAGAAGTGGTGGAGGTGGAAAAGAAGCTTGGTTTTCTGCAGAGGTCTGGTCTTACTTGGCATCATGTCGCTGCCGGTTCGGGTGTTATGCCGAGGATCGTCGAGAAGGAGGTGGTCGTTCAAAAGGTTGTCCAGTCCGGGATCACGGAGGAGGAAGTTCAACGGATCCAGTGGCAGGCCAGCCAAAGCAGGGCTGGTGGTGTTTTTGTTGCTGCTGTTCTTGCTTGGCTGGTTTCTGATTGTGTTGATTTCAAGCATGAAATCAGTGACTGTGACATGAAGCATTCTTGCAGGTAGAACAAGAAAGGGCACAGATCGAGATGGCCGTGGAAGCAGAAAGGCAGGCCATTGAGGCGCAGAAGGATCTCGGCTGCGAGGTCTTGATCTTGAGAGAAGCAATCTACATTCCTTACTTTCTGACTACTCATTACTACTCGACGACACTCAGGAGATGGCAGATCAGGAGAAGCAGCAGCTGCTGGCGGCTTTGGAGGAGAAGCAGCGCAGCAGAGAGGAGAAGGCCCAGCAGCAGGAGAAGATGCTACAGCAGCTTAAGGCCGGGAGTATCAAAATGGGGTCTAGGGTTTAGGGTCGGAAGGGCCTTGGGAGTGCAGCCTGGAACGAGTCAGCTGTCCTTTCGTGACGTCGCAAGCCAGTTGCAACAGGGTCCTAGGGCCCAGTCTAGGGTTCAGGCTCGTCTTGCGCGTGGAAAAAGACTCTACTCGCACACGGCTGAAGTTCTATGAACATCCCGCGAAAGCATCGAAGGCCATGGAGGAGAAGATGCTGGTTGGAAGCCAGGTTATGGAGAAAGCCATGCAGTCACTCTGCAGCACATGCCAGCATGCGACACGAGACACGGAGAGCCCTCTTTCAGCACTGGCCTTTTCTAACGAGGCAAGAAGCCGACCTGCGGAAAGCCGCTGTGGAAGTGGAAGAGAAGAAGCGCTTGGAGCAGCGCATGCTGCTGGGCCTGGATCGGATTGATCTTGCGATGCCCAGACATGACGCCTCCCTGTGCGCACTCCCCCCACTCCCCTCCAGCAGTTCTGAAAGCATGCAAGATGAAAGTGCTGAGCTTCGGCCGTTCCGGGGCAAGGAGGTGTGTCGGGTGTTTGTTCGCTGCTGCAGGGGGCAGTAGCCGAAGCATCATCAACTGAACGTCGACGCCTCGTGTTTCCTCCAATAATAGTCGGCTTTCGGACGAGCGCAGGAAGGGTCGGCCGGCGGGTGGGGCGCCGTGGGGGACGGGTCTCATTGCCTTTTTTTTGGTACCTCAAGCCTGATGAGAGTATTTGGCCAGGGTGGGACTGCTGTTGGGTGCCATCTGATCTGTTCTTCTCAAAACGGGCCCAGGCAGGAAGAGCTCGAGCAACAGCAGGAGGACAAGCTCAACCTCGAAGAGAAGTACGCCTCGACGGAGGAACAGGCGAGAGGGTTGGTAAATCGTAAACGGGCATCCTTGAGCGAATCTTTCGACGGAGTTCGGCTTTTGCCTGTACAGGTGCAGAAGATGACGTCCAAGCTGGAAAAGCTGTGGAACCGTCACAAGCAAACGCAGCAGGAGGTGCAGGATTTACAGCACGAGTTCCAAACTGAACGCGAAGATATGCTGGAAACCATCCGAGATTTGCGGAAGGAGGTGAAGTTGGTCTGCCTCACAATCGAGAATTTCATTCCACTCGAGCACTACCAGCAGATCGTCGAGCGTGCGCACTACGACGAGTCCTCTGATGAGTGGGTTATCAATAACATCGATCTTGCTGGAAATCGGGTCCGAAGACGTGGCCGCATTCTGGACGACGATGGGGATGGCCGGCATGGAATGAGACGTACAGGACAAGCAGACGGCAGCCCGGATCCAGTGGCAATGATGAACGAGAGACCCAACGTCTATTTCGCATACACCGAAGATGGCGGCGCGCAACGGGCGGAGACCCGCCCGGCGCCGGCCAAAAATGGCAAGTCTCAGCGCATGAAGTCCGCGGGACGTCCAGGCACTGCTTCTCGGAAAGGTCGCGCTGTGAAAGGCGCTGTGGGCACCAACTTCCTCCATTCGCCGGACCCCGAGGAAGCTGAGGCCGAGGCTGCCTTCCCAAAGGCGCGTGGCCTCGTCAGAGCTGGCTACCAGGGTTAGATTTTCCCATGTTCATGAGTGCAAGGGGACAACTTGCAGACACATACCAGATCGCTGTCTCACGTTCGTGTACCGGTAGTGGAAAGGCTAGCTGTAGTCATGGTATGATGCAAAAGTGCAGATGCTTCCTGGGCTGTTCTACAGCAGTGCCAGTTCCACGAATCTGCAGCGGCGCACGCCCTGTTGTACAGAGAGCAGTGCCGGTACTTGCACGCCAGCTGCGGCAAGCTTCAGAGAATAGAGTGCCCACGTCATGTGGCCACACTCCTTGCATGGCAGCTCACGATGTTTCACATCTCACGGGATGGGCGCGTAATGGCTGATACTGATGATCGGCCTTGGGTACTAATTTATCTTATATATTTATTCATGAGCCATGCCAGAATCAGTTTTCTTCAGGCAGCCATCACATCAACCAGACACCTACCTGGCCCATCTAAGAAATCTTCAATTCTAGACTCGGCAGCAAAGAATCATCGAATGCCTCTCCATGGCAGTTGCAGGGAAGAGATGTGGGTCTGGGGTATGATCCATCTTGTCGCACTGGTGTAGCCTGTTCGGCTCCCTTCCGTGTCTCAGAATCACGAGACATGCAGACACCCGGCACAGGTTGGGATTTTGCGGATTTGCTGCGCCGTATGCGTGAGCGATGCATTATCGTTGCTGGCAGGTGGAGATGCCAAAGCTGCAGCCGAGAATGGCCCCATTGTGATACCGGAGGACTTCACCATAGACAAGGCCAGGCCTCCACTTTTTCTTGCCCTGGAGATCTGAAGATGCTGTCCAGACAGGATGCCCGCTATGCCGGCACCGCAGCTTGGCTGGGATCCGGATGGCCGATAAGGCAAACTCATCGCAGGGGGCTGAGCATCCAGCATGGTGCAGATCAGGTCCTTGAGTTCAACAAGTGGAGAGGGTTTGGGCACATCGCGCTGGTCCAGAAGGACAGACCATCCCGAAACCGTTTTGAATCCCATGCGCTTCTCATTCGCACCTGTTCTCTGCGAGGGGGTCGTGCCCGGGGCATCTTGGAGCGCAACAGTGTTTTTCGTGCTCTCTTTCGTCAAGACGTCATTGTAGCAATGCTGTATCCATGATAGATGTGGGTTGAGGCTTCTGCAGGTGTCTCAGCCCGGGACCTGCATATGACGCGAAAGATCAAATGCCAAGCCTCCATCAAGGAAATAGAAAGCAGGAAGAACAAAGGGGAGAGAACTGCGGGGCGACGGGCAGGTTGGGGGTGATAGTCCTGTAGGTTGCTGCAGGGCAGCCTGAGCACTGAGACTTCTCGAGTCCACTGTTTCAGTCAGCACGAATTTCCCAGTGCGCGGGCTGTGCTGAAGAAGGGGGAGAATTGCAAAAAGTGTGGCAAGTGACGGCCGAGTGCAGGGACCCCCCCCTCCATTTCGATCCAAGCTGCGTGCAAGGTCTGCCTCCGAAGGGCCCACCGGCAAATACACAAAACCCGCAGATCTCATTGGCGCCGGGGCACTTCCGGGATCGCGGCCCTTTCTTGGTCAGGAGATACGCAGTGTTATTATAAGTTATATCATGTATACTGTATATTATGTTCTATCATATTGCAGTACATCACGTTAAGTTATATAATACTAGTATCATACAGAAATATTCGAAATGTCTTATCATATTATGAAATATTACCCATTGCAACACGGTTCGACCACTTTGCTGTTCCCGGAGGGAGCCGGGCCTGCATAGGAAGAGCGAGGGCTCTTGGACTTGTTCTTAGTTGAGAGCATGACATGTACACGCTCGGTTTACTGGCCTTTCTCTAAGCTGGTTGGCCATGGTGACCTCGCAGCAGGGAAAAGTGTATGTATGCATGTATGTATGTACGTACGTATGTATGTATGTATATGTGTGTGTATATATATGTATATATTATAGATATGTATATTTATACATACATATATATATATATATATTGATTGATTGTGTTGTATAGTACTGTGTAAAATATGTTGCTTTAGCATGTGTTATGCAGCTACATGTGTATATATATATATAGATATAGATATATACAGATGCATAAACATAAATAGATAAGTGCATATATATATATGTATATGTGTATATATATATACACGCATATATATATATACACACACACACGCACATACATGCTTCATTTTCCTTCCTTGACCGTGCTGGCCCTTCTCCACGTCCAGATTGGTCTGCCGACTGCCAGCTTGAAAATGGGCCAAATCGCGAAATGATGGCAGCTACGCAGGTCGGGTTCAGGGTCCCAGAAAGCGGCACGTGCCGAATTTGCGTTGGTACCAGTAGCACTCTCGTGCGGCTGGACTCGGAGTGCCAGATGAAGCATCACTCCGCGAGTCTTCTGTGCGTTGAAACGTTTGAGATGCCAATGACCAGCACCATGCGAGCAGTGCCGAAGCGGATTTTTTGAGCTCAGAAACTAATCTGTACTGAGGACAAAGTTTTTGTCCATTGGAACAACATCCAGACAGAGGATCGATTTCCACGCTTGCAGCAAGGACTGCAGCTCTTCGGCGGCAGTGAAAACAGGACATGCTGCTCCCTTTGCGCCCTCTTGGTTTCTTAGACGTGACTGCTTCTGAGGGTGGAGTTTGGCCTGGTGATATCGCAGGGATGGAGACTTGGACTCGAAGAGAATTTGAACCCCCTTCTGCTACTGATGGCCCTTTTTACCGCGTTCCAAGGCGGGGGTGGAACAAGGTGCGGTCACTGAAGGCCAAGACCGTGACGCTTCCAGGTGGAGGCCGCCATGGCCTCAATATGCGATAGTTATGGTATCATGCTAGTCAAGCACTACCAACAGTAAAAATAATAGTACATTATACTAAACATGCATGTGCTGTAACATGGTTGGAAGGTTCATTTGATCTTCGAGCTGTCAAGAACATCTTTATGTGTCCTCTGCTCGCAGGCATGATCAACATCCAGGCCTCCTGGGTGCCGTTGCTTGTTGTTCGAGGTGTAATCAACGCATGAACGTGGTGAAATTAAGACCCTCGCAACCGAGTGCTGCACATGGCACTCCCTCAAAGGACCCCAAGGGTTTGTTCCACATCCCTTCTCCGTCTCCGCAGTCACAGCTGTACGAAATGAGGTATGTACGCAGAGGGAGACAAGGCATCGCAAATCCCTGCACCGACAGGCAGCAATGGATGCTGAGAACATGACGAACCTTGTATTCATTATCATGCTTGTCGGACTCGCTTTGTAACATTGCAGTTGTTTTTCTTGTTGGTGGGCCATCGCCGTCGTCGTTGTTGTCGCTTTGGTCCTCCTCCTCCTCCTCCTCCGCCTCCTCCTCCTCCTCCTTGTCGTCGCGGGCGCTTGATCGGCAAAGACGTCAGAGGAACATGATAGGGCGTCGTGGTCGTCGTCGTCGCCGTCAGCATATATCAGCATCTTCGTCGTCATCGTAGCCCGTGGTTTCCTGGTTGTTGGTGATGCTGTTGCGGTTGTCACCTCTGCTTTTGCGTGGTTGCTCCTCTGAGTTGGCAGTGTGATTGTGCTGCTGGTTCCTCAAACGAGTTCTGTGAGGGGGTAGCATAGTACATATAGGTGGTGGTGCCGGTCGTCGTTGTCATCGTTGTGGTAGTAGAGAGCAGCAGCAGCAGCAGCAGCAGCAGAGCAGCAGCAGCAGCAACAGCAACAGCAGGGGATCGTCGCATGTAGCACACATCAGCCGTGCCCTTCCCAGGTTTGTTGGTGCACAAAACTTCCGCTACACTGGCACCGTCAAGAGCCTTGCTTGAATCTTTTGCGGCATCAAATCCGCAAAATTCTATTCATCAGGGAACGCTGGCGGGACTGCAACTTGACGTGTCATGCGGCGAGGTTTTTCGATCCATTCCGTGGTTTTGGGTGGGCCAGGTGCTTGACAAGCGCAGTTCATTTGCCATCATGTGTCTCTACAATGACTCTGCAATACGAGGAGATTTGCTGCCGATGTAGTGAGGTCATTATAAATGACGGATATGCCCTGGACGAGCCCGTCCCAAACGAGATCAAGGCAAGCCCGCGTTTCATGGCACTTGCGAAGTGGAGGGAGTGATTGCCTGAATCCTGCAAGTCTAATCGGCGAGACTGCTGGCAAGACACTTACTTCTCCCTCATGAGTGGCAACCAGGTGGAAGCATGGGAGCTCAACACAGGCGGCAAACGCCTGCGGATGAGAATCGACAAGCAGCTTGATCGCGTTCGCTGCAGTGAAGCAGCCAAGACACATACAGCCGTGAGCAAATTCTACAACACGCGCATTGGCAACATCCAGGGCCATGATCCATGGCATGTGGTTGCGTTCCGAAGACCGAGTCGAACCGAGGCTTGAGATTGAGTTCGGCATCGTGAAGAGCAACACGGGTTTATTGCAAGTGTGGGGCATTGGTGACAAGATTGCGTCCGAAACCAGCTGCTCTCGAATTCTTTGAATGTGTTCGAAGAAATGCACCTGAAGGAAGGGGGATTCCTACATGGCCTACAATGTCACGCTGCCAGGTCGGGCCTTCAGTCGCTCTTGCCGAGGCCTTGACTTCTAGCGTAAGTAAAACTGAAGCGAAAACTCACATGCAAAGCGACAGACAAGGCCACAAAGGAAAAGTCACAATAAGTCACAGCCTAACCGTATCATGCAGAGGCTTCCCTGACACTCACCATTTGTCACCAATCTTCCGATCGAGGAAAATAGAGCCTTGTGGCAAGGGCCCACCGTCAAAAGCAAACCTGCATCCTCAGAGCGCACGAGCTGCTTTGGCCGGGTTCGTGTAGGATGTGAATGGCAACGCGACAGAGGGCCAGAATCATGAGTATCATCGGGTGTCTACGCCGCCTTGGCGCATGCACGTTTTTGCTTCTGAGGCCCCCTAGACCGTAGTAATCAACGTGAGCATCACGCCCCGGCGAAAGGCCCGGAGCCGCACCAAGATCTTCCTTGGCAGCGCGAAGAAAGAGGGGCGGAACTTGGCGGGCCAGGGTAGCCGGGAAGGAGGGAGGCAGGGGCGGCAGGGAGGGCCATGTTTGCCTGTGCGGGTGCGCGATGTGGTCAAGGCTCAGTGGAGAGGGTATCGTGGCGGCCCACTTTAGTCGGCCCGGTTGCAGACTGAAGACACGAACTCTTGTTCAAAAGGCAAGTGCCCAAACTGGCGCTATCACAGCCGGCGTCGCCGGATTTCGTGACACACTTTGTCACAACCGTGTGCATAAAGAGCTGAAGCAATTCCATCGACGTTTCTCCTCCCTTCGCCTGCTTCTCATTCCCGATCGGGACTGAGGATATACAAGACTGTGTGCAAGGGACGCATGCAAGTTAGCAGCAAACTTACCATGCTGAACGCATGTCCGCAGCGTGCAAAACAGCTCATGAATATGTGTCTCACTGCAGGTCTACCTATGCAACACTGACTTGGACTTAAACGACCTCACTCCGTAAATGCCTGGACTCGCAGACCGCCCTTCCACCGCTGCACCCCTGCTGCTCTCCACTCTTGCATGCGTACTTGCTCTCTTTCTCCCCCCTGGCACGCACGAGGGTGCACTGGTGAGACTCGAGGAGATGTATCATGCACAGCGACAGTCTCCACTTCGAGTTCTGCAGCAATGCGTCCCCAAATAATCGCGAAGTGTACCAGTGTACCGAAATCGCGCCCGATGACTCAGGCGGCGCACCGATTACGCAGGAGGCCATGGAACACCGCAAGGAAGAAGGCGGTTCCTGCGCTCAGCAAGGGGGGCGCCAGCATCCCATGGCCATGGATGACCTTCAACACCTCAGCCTTGAGAGTCTCAGGTCAGAGGTATACTGGAACAGTGCAGTGGTGGCAGCGGCAGCCTGTCTGTATGTGTGGGGAAACGGTATGAAGAATTTCATCAGACGACTGATATTTGGAGACCAAGGTGGCAAAACTGGGGGCACATCGTTCCAGACCCCGGTCAAGCCTTGCCACCGGTGGCACTTAGGCTGCAGAGCATCAGCGCCTGGGTTTGCTGCTCACCAAGAGTGCGCTGATTCATGATGGACTGACCCCTCGTCTTCCGCAGCCTTAGGTGAAAGCCAAGATGGAGGAGTCAGTTGCGCAGGCAGCCGCGAAGGCCGAAAGGGTGCATCCGCTGCCAGTGAATATATCCTGCACGCATTTTAATGCAAGCAACTATCGCTTACATGCGGTATAGGCCTGATGGTAGCAGTGCACTTCGGCATGTCAACTTCAAGCCCGGACTTGACGCTCTTAACCTGGCCTCTGTGTGTCTCTAAGCAGACCAGGCAAAGCCTGATGGCAAACCTCCAGAGATGCTGCTCTATTTTCGCAAGGTTGGGCCAAGTTGGGCAAGCTGCAAAATGCAGTGCTCGGGTGATCCTTGCAACCGCGAAAGGTCCTCACCCGCGCATGCGCACTCCAAACTTGTTCTCAACATCTTCGCATAGCCAAACGCGGTGTCACACGTGTTGACAACCATTGCTCTGCCATCCTTCGCCGGCGGCCCATGGTGCTGCAGGTCGATTGCGAGTGGAGCCTGCGACCAGAGATTGGCAAGAAAGTTTCTTTCACAGCCCCCTGGCTTGGCGGCTGCACAGAGCCTAAGCGGCTCGGTGTTGTGTACCGAGGTATACCTAGATGACAAAGGTGCCGGGGCCAAGGATGTCGTGCCCGTGGAGCCTGGGACGTATCCGGAAGTTGCATGTATGCTGTTGTCCTGTGCACTTCTCTGCGTCACCTTCGCGCGTTTCGGTGAAGTAAGGAATGAGCGCCATTGCCAGCCTATGCAAAAGTGTGGAGCAGTTTTGGTATCTCGTGTTTTGAGAATCCACGGCCATCACATGCACCTACGACCTACGATCGACCAAGTCGCTTTTAGCCTCAGCATGTCCATTGAAGTTTTCTTAAAACTTAGCGAAGGCCGCAGCAGCGGTCAAGTCGCTTGTCCGTTTCGAAGAGCGTTCCGTGCGAGGAGCAAAATCGCACAGCACAAGGGCACACGAGCGAAGGTAGAAGATGCCTGCACTCATCGCGGAAGTGATTATGGTCGGCTGTGCCATGCGATGTCTTCTTTTTTGCTACTCCCCCATTGCTCGGATTACACTAGTTCGTCGCTTCTTGAGAGAGCAGGTCACCCGCGATTGCAGTAGATGCTGTTTGTCGCCTTTCATGGACGCAGAGACTTCGGCTCTGTGGCGGGTCTCGGACAGCCCCGCTGCAAGACATGACCTTGGGTGTTCAAAAGACCATCCAGAAAACCAGCGCAGGCAATCAGCAGAAGTTGCGCCCGCGCTTAGACGGGCCGCCGCTTGTTGCCCGTTGCAGGTGGAGATGCCAAAGCTGCAACCAACACTGGCCCAACTGTGATTCCGGAGGATTTCACTGTAGACAAGGCAAGGACTTGGACATGTCTCCAGACTCTAGACTCTAGATTCTCCAAGAACCCGCAGATATCCAGGATGCGCGCTACACTGGCTCTGCAGCTTGGCCAGGATCGTGATATATTCGCTGTTTTTGCAGCGAAGGTAGCTATCCCAAGCCATGGGGCGAGCCACGGGCCTGCACGATGCCTCATCTTTTTGCAGATGAGGTGCTTGAGTTCAACAAGTGGCGAGGGTTTGGGCACATCGCGATGGACCAGAAGGACTGGTGTCCTTGCGCTTGCCATGCCCAATGCCAATGATTCTTGAAGTTTGGTGAGAGAGTATGTAAATTGAGCTGCAGTGAGGGGGTCGTGCCCGGGGCAGCTTGGAATGCAAGTTGATGCAAGTTGCTTCTTTCGGCGCATGTGTCTATGCAGAGTTTGGAGTGACTAATCTCTGCTTGGAAACTGCACGCCTGCATGCGGTGTTTGCGTATGTCCATAATATGGACAAGTGCAGTGCAGAGGAGCGAGTCAAGGGATCACCCGACCGACCGAGGACAAGGTGTTTGTCCACTGGAAAAACATTCAGACAGATGACAGATTCCCACGGCTACAGCAAGGATTGTCGCTGCTTGCCTACAGTAACCCTGTTCGATGGAAGTGCACCGTGCCAAACTGACCTGATCGTTGCCGAGGGTGGAGTTCGGCCTTATAGTTTCTCAAGAGTGGCTGCTTGACAGCAGTCCTGGGCCTGACCAGCATTTCGAACTTCTGTGCAAAAAACAGCCGTTACCATGCCGTACCCGAGGCGGGGGTGGAACAAGGTGCGGTCGCTGAAGGCCAAGACCGTAACACTCCCAGGAGGAGGCCATCGTGACCTCGGTGCTGTGTATTCGAAGGGTCGTTCACATGGCAGCCTGAGACATGCTACGGCCTGTGCAGGCATGGTGAACATTCAGGCCGGGCCACCATGAAAGTGAAGCCTCCGGCGCCCAACTGACAAATCCCGACCCTGCATGAAGCAGAGTCATGGACGTGGAACAACACACAGACACAGCTTCCAAGTGTTGTATCACTGCCAAACCTTGAAGCATAACATGCAAGCGAGCAGGATGCTATGGATGCAGAGAGCATGACGAGCCTTGCCGAAATTGAGGTGCACTTGTTCGTTTGACTTCTTATGTCAGCATCTGGCAGTGTGACAACAGGAAGCACTTTGCCAGCAATCTTAGGTTTGTTGGTGCACAGAACTTCCGATATACCGGCACCGTCAAGCATCCTGGCAACATCGGTGAAATAGTGCTCGCCCGGCAGAGTGTGACGCATCATGCCTTTCCCGGAGCACCTAGAGAGCCGAGGGCCCAAGTGCTGTGCAAGTAGCACAGAACTACAACTTGCCTCCGCATGAGAGGATGCGCCACGGGAGGGTGCGCCTGACAAGCAAAATTCTCACGTGGCCGTGCACAATCCATTCCCGCCAGTCCCACTGCTGTGAACGGTCGATCGAACAGGGCGAATGGAGTGTTGAATCAGCCCACACCTTGACGAAAATATGCGAACGCCAGCACAGCAACCGTCCATGCACATTCTTGTGCTTCTGCCTGCCTTTGCACTAAGATTTTTTGATCAGTTTCGAAACTTCGGTTGGGCCGCGACCTTACTTACCACGGCAGTTGCCGCAGCTTGAAGCATCGATGCGGCTTGCAAGCACTGCACTCGCACTGCAGCGAGGTTGCCATAGATGATGGCTTTGCCATGGATGACCCCGTGCCGAAGGAGATCAAGGCTCAAATTTCCATCTGGCTCGGAGGATATCATACAGTGTAATGTAGTAATGCAGTACACTACAATTGAGTATAATATAACTTATAACATATCACAACAAAATATACTATAGTATGGAGCAGCTTATAATGTCACAGAATCGTCGGGTTCACAGAGCACGTTGTCTAGCAAGATGGTCGCGCGAAAGGACTTGTAGTTCTTTGAGGTATATTATATTATATAGTTATATTATACTATATTATATAGTTATATTATAATATAGGATATATTATATTAATTAGATTATATATTATTTTAGATTATAACATGTGGTCGTGGAAACTTGATTCCTGCGCGAGGTTGCCCGGGGCTTTCGTCCGGTTGCGAGTCCGAGCTGCGAGTGTGTTGCCTCAAAGCTCCAAACACCTACGACAAAACTAGTATGATGTACCATGCTACGACATAAAAAGCCATACTATAATATAATAGAGCTGAAGACTTGCTTCTCCGCCGTTTGCTGCCTACGACGTGCTTCGGACGGCCACGCAGGCACAAAAGGTTACACGTGCTTGGGCTGGACTCGCAATCTCACTCGAGAAATGAAAACCTTCTGCAATCGCTGCCCCAACATGTGGCTGGAAAAGGAGTGGGAGAAATGAGTAACTGGCAGCAGTTAGGAAGGAATAGAGGTTATTAGAGAACAGTAGGGAGAATCAGGCACGGCCGGAGAAGTGGGCTATCATCATTCGTTGGCGAGGGTTGAAGCCTGCCTGCAATCTCCGGTCTTGACGGAGCCAGTCGGTACATTCGCAATCAGGTGGAGGAAGAAGACCGTTGTCATCTGGTGTAGTAAAGCATGTTGTGAATAGGAAAGCGAGGGTGGGTTCATGTGAGTCAAGAATAGTCGAGATGCCTGGGATGCCGTCTTTGACTGCCCGGCCATGCTGACACTGCAGACCTTTGACTGTTGAGCACATGATTGCCTAGGGGGTGACCTAGTTTTAGCTGGTCTGGGAGGTTAGAACCACATGTGCTATGAAGTGTTAGCAGCTAATCTGCTTCACAGCATGCGCTAGACTCGGCTCCTTCCCGAGTCCCGAGCCAGGTGGAAGGAGAGGAGCTAAACACCGGCGGAAAGCCTCTGCGAATGAGGATCGACAAGTCGCCTGGTCACCAAAAATTCTGTATACACTACTATAACATACTATTCTACATTGACATACTATACTCTTACAAATTTTTCCAATTGGTATGCTAGAGTCATGAGGAACGTCGGCCCCCCTCCCCATTCCAGGATGTAATGGGCAAAAGCACTTGGTGCCTAGGCTTGCAGTCGAGTTCGGCATCGTCAAAAGCAAGACGACTGGCTGCACTCAGGGTTACAGGGTGTGCACAAGCCCGCGGGACACTACTCAGCGGGCTGCGAAGGAAGGGAGATTCCTACATGGCGTACAATGTCACACTGCCAGGCGAGGTCCTCTCTCAGGAGTGGCCACTGCAAGTTGCCATGGCCGGCAGGTGGAACGCCCATCACCCAGGAAGCCCTAGAACACCGCCAAGAAGAAGGCAGCCGAGAGACCTAGCATGGATGGGTAGTGCATAGCGTTGTCGCCTCGAGAGGCACTTCGGCAGCGTGTCAGAGCCTGTTTGCTTCCCTGGCTCCTTAGGTCAAAGGTTTACCGGGACTGTGCAGTGGTGGCAACGGTGGCTCGGTGTTTTTGGGTCATCTCACACCAATATCTGTCTGCCCACTGTGCGCAAATGCGACACGCTGCGAGGTGGCAAAGCTGGGGTCACATTATCCCCGATGCCGACCAGGTTCTCCCTGCCACTGCCGCTGGGCACAGCCAGGGGTTGCTGCAAGCCTCCCAGCATGTGTCGGTGCAACAGACGTCTTGAGGTGCAGGAAAAGCTGGAAGCAGCTGCGAAGGCTGCGGACGGTTTGACGTCTGGATGGTTGTTGAAGATTGAAGCACCTATCCCGTGACCGCGATTCTGACTTGCTGCCTCTGACTTCTGTGCACTCGAATGACGCAGGCAAAACCAGATGGAAAGCGTGCAGAGCACTTACTGTACTTCCGCAAGGAGCTGGTTGGAACACATGCAGACCAGGTTTCCGTGTCAGCTGTTGCTAACGGTAGGTCCGGACTCTGTGGGGCTCCCAGCTTCGGCAGAGACAGAGGGATCGTCACCCTCCAAGCCGCACAAAAACACAAACAAAAATACCGCTGATCCATATTCTTGCTTGTGCTTGCCACTGTAGGCATGTCGTCTTACACGTTTTGTGCACTTGAGCCTGAATGCACACAGGTCCGTCTGCGCATGCGCATGCAAGCTCTCCTACATGTATGCAAGCTCAGACGCTCAAACACTCCATGCACACGTTCTTTGGCAGAGCTTCTAAGCCTTTCTAAGCTGGATTCGACAGACTCGATCAGCAGGCAGGGATGGCCGACCTGTGTATGGGCAGGACGACTGTGAGTGGAGCTTGCAGCCTCAAGTTGGAAAGAAGGTGTCTTTCACCGCGGCTTGTTTGCACCTCAGACCGACAAGTCATGTTCTGGCCTGAATATCCTACATCTCAGAAGCCCACGCCCACACACATACTCCCCAGATTCCAGATACGAGAATGAATGTGTGTATGTATATATTATATACATACATATACATATATGCACACATAACTCTCGCCCTCTCCCTCTCTCTCTCTCTCTCTACACACACACACACATATATATATATATACATACACCCAAATATACATATACACATACATACGCATGGTATTTACATGCAATATTCTTTAAAGTATGTAATATAATGACTAGATATCAGCTCCGCTCAGGTTTATGTAGACGACAAAGGTGCAGGGGCCAAGGACGTGATGGCGGTTGAGCCTCGGCTACCAAACGAAGCTCGCTGTTTCCCGCTCTTGAAAACTGTCCCTTATCATGAAAAATGCTGGTATATATTGTACTACACCACAGTTTGTTAACAAAGTAAGTTTGTTGTACGGGATTTGTTTGGATACTGCCCCCACTCCAGTAACAGTTTAGTAACATTCACAATGTGGATGTATAAGGCCCTTCATAGTCGCCCTATGACAGACTCTTGCTGTATGGGGGCAGTACCCAAAGGATGGTATTTTGAAGGAGGAGCTTCGAGTTCAGGGCTCCAGGAGAAGCTTTTCAATGACGTGAGACAACATTAAGCTACATAGCATAGTTTGAAAATAAAAGGGGGTGATAGCAAGGAGGTCAGGCGTCTCTTGAAAAATGCATCGGAGTCTTGAGTTCAATGCGGCTGCTCCTTGGAAAGAAAGTATGACTACAAGGCATGCCATGGCAGGCCCCTAAACCACGAGAGGCAGCAACCCTCTGGTAAGCTTTGCTCGCTCACCTCTCGCATATGTTGCCTGCGTCAAGGAGTGACTCGCAGCATGAGATCAAGAGCCTGTGCGGTGACTAGAAAGACTAGAACACTGAGAAGGCAGAGTGGGAAAGCCTAAGCAGGTGTCGCCTTCTTGTCCGTACTCGCTTGAGCACTCGGATCTTACAACCTACGTTCCTAGAACTTGAAAGTCTTGCGCAGCACGCCTTAGTAGACTGGGCTTGTGTGCAAAGCTAAGACAGCTAAGAAGGCTCATACTCTCAACATCACGGCTTATGCCTTCCTCGCGGCCGAATTCGTTCTCACGAGCTCACGACTGTGCCCGGCGGCGTCAAAGCCACCACCTTCCCCCCCTGCAATCATCCTGGCATGAAGCCTGTGATTGAGCTGAGAGAGTATGTCTTGATAGCTGCACTTATTCGGCTTATTCCAACACTTTTTTGCAAGCTGCCTGGCACAAGTCTGTCGAGTGAGAAGCTTAAGCAGCCCTGCAACAGATCCATGACGAGCCTCCTGTGGATTTCGCTCTCCTCGGTGGCCATCCAGTTTGATTTTCGAAAGTTGATAGATGGTTGTAGGATTGACAGGTCCGGCACATAACAACGGTATGCTGGATTGCCACGCGGGCGAAGCCGTGAAAGCCTACTATGTTGCAGTACATGGTTGATCCCCACTCAGCGTCCTACCGTTTCTTCACTCTCATGTGGCTCAGCATGATGCGAAGATGCATCTCAGCAGGGATGCGCTGTGCTTACCTTACCGCCATGGTTTCACGAAGCCAGCAGGTGCAGCAGTGTACGGTCCCAGCCGAACTTTTTCATTTGCGAGCTGAGGGTGAGGCACTGCTCCTATGCAGGGGTGGGGAACGTACAGTCGAAGGAGACTCTAAACAAGGCCCCAAGCCCTTCTGCCCCGCGCTATTCTTGCCAAGCTTCGACTTAAGTTCGTGGTTTGAGGACCGAGGATGTCCTCCACATGGCTTCCAGTAGCTACAACAGCTCTTTGGCACGGCCTTCGTCGTTTGCATCAGGGGCAGGAGAATCAAAAAGGATAGGCGGGCTGGTGCTGCTTCGATCTTCATCGGCGGTTTTGGTGCCAGATGTCCAAAGCTCTGGAGGGTACACCTGCTTGCTGTAGGATTCCCTCGAATGCTTGTTTGTTTTTTTTTTCCTGTGATCTTTGTCAAGTTTCCATTTCGGTATCTCGAAGCCGCTCTCGATCCGCAAGATACCCTTTGTGCTTGCACAGTCCCGAGAAGGGAGGGACAGCAACTCCGCTATCCATCTTAAGCTGGGCATCGCAGTCCACTATCAATTTCAAAGCAATATCGAACAGTGGGGGGCTTATTCGAGTGGGACGTCGAAAGTTGCAGATATCTGATGGAAACGGGATAGCAGGAGTAGCGTGCCTGCAGCCTCACGAACGATCGGCACAATGCTGGCCTCACACGTGGAATGCGGAGCCAGTGCTGCAAGCTCTGCAGCATGATGGGTGTGATACGCTTGCACACTTTCAGTATGTTGCTTTGTTTGTTTGTCGGTTTGTGTGTGCTTTGTTTGTCCGACAGTTTGTTTCTTCTTCTGCTGACCTCCAGTCTGTGTGTCTGCCGACCCTTCTGGCTACCCGCCGCAGTGTCCCGCGACGGCTCTCACTGACCCGCAGAGAGGTTAACTCGGACTCTGCAATCTGCAGTCTTTGGATTCGAGCAGACCGGTCCTGGTCTTCGACGCGGCGAGTCGGACAGGATCCGGCAGTCATGGCAAACTAGTCTTCACAGGAATGCGGCCCAGAAGCTCGACTGCATTCCCAGCTTCTTGCCAGCAAGAGTGGTACAGTGTAATTATAATTCTAACGCTACGCCGCCCGCCTCGGCCTGATTGGCGGCAGCATGTGTCTCTGAGTCTTCAGCTCAGCGATCGCGTCTGGAACTTGGACCCCAAAGCGGGTGTAACTTTCCGGCCGCAGGGAGGCGGATTCGGTGGTGGGTGCTAAGTGTCGGATTCATGTTGCTTGTGTGTGTGTGTGCGTGCGTGGGT